AGGAATGAATTTAGGTCAAAGAATAATATACAGGCCAGCAAAAGTTTATAATTAACAGACAGCTTTATCATTCTACGTTCTTTATTCCAAGAATTGGCTCATTTGGGCCTTCTACACGGATAAAATATAAACATGAGTTAAACCATGTAATTCGAGTAGCCGTAAACAAACAAGTTTTCGCGGAAACCAAATGCGTCACCTCGACGTGCTCACAGTATATAGTAGGTGTAAACTCAAAACTCGGCAGGACAAAAGACAAGGAGTCAAGCTACCTTAGGAAATAATTGCTTTATATTCAGATTCATTTGTGGCGCGAAAAATAAACGTTGAACAAAAAGTGGCCGAGAGCTGGGCCCCATACTTTACTGCAACTGACGAACGAAAGCACAAATATGATTGCTGGAAAAAAATTGCTGAAACCGATTCAAAGACTTCGCAAGCTTCTGGAGAGTAAAGTTGAGGAATGCTATGAAGTAAAAGCGGTTGTACAAGAACTTAAAATTGGACGAGGCGTTAAAGAAGATAGCATTAAAGATTGTAGTTCGGGAATTGAAGCAGAGGTGGACAAGTACAAGAGAAAGATATTAGAGGGTATGTTAGGCTTACCCAAGGTAAACTACCCAGGCATAAGGGCTGATCTAGTGAGGTTGGATGATAACTGGCAGGAGTAGCGGTTCCCGCAATTAGTAAAAGCTTTAATAAAATTGTGTGAGAGGAACACTGTCCCACTGGATGGCAAACTTGGCAGACGTGAAAAGGGAGACAAGTGAGACAAGAGGGCGGACAACATAGGCCAAGTGTTTACTGTAAGCCTGAGTAACATAAATACAGTTGACTGTGACTAGATTAGACGACAGGAGGAGGTAATTGTCTGACAATTAGTGTATTTTAACCGTATTGGCACTAGGCATAGAGCTGCGTAATGCAGATGAACCACAACTTGCCAGGGATGTAATGGGAAGTGTCATTGTTCGATTTGTGATGAACTTTCAAACCAGCTTATGTTAGCAACAGGTGGAGGCCAAGTGGTGTACCCAGTAGTTTTGGTAGAAGTGGATGGAATTAGTTGTAGAGCCTTATTAGACACGGGAGCCGGGAGCTCCTATGCATCAGCAATCCTAATTAACAAACTGAACAGGAAGCCAGATCGTAAAGAGTGAAAGAGAATGGAAATGATGATAATGGACAAGTCAGAAGATAGAATTGTAGGAGGTCCAAGTCTCTAACATTTAAAGGAGGTCTCCGTTTGTCTACTACCATAAGCAAAGTCGACAAGGGAACTTTGTGAACTATCCCGAACCCAAGATACGTGGTTATAACCTCCAAGTACCAACACCTCAAGGGCGTGGCGATTGATGATACCAGCTTCTCAAAATCATTAATTATTCAAAAAGAAAACACAAAGAAAATTAATGTTTAATGAGTGTTTGGAAATCAGATGAAAAACCGCTCATTTTTGCATCCTTAATTTCTCCTTCTAAAATCATTTTGTTTGAGAAGTAATATCAAGTATTCGACACTGTGTTTCAAATCACCAGATGACATACCTCGAATTTTGTCAAAAATACTCCGCTGCGCGTCCTTCAACACTGTTGAACATTGTCGAATTTATAAAAAACTTTATCGAGCGGTTTTTGGAAAAATACGAAATTTTTAGGCATGAACCAAATTACGTCCAAAAACTGTATCAAAAGCAGCTGAATGCAAGTTAATAAAATTCTTCTTACTCGCGATCGCCTAGAGCAATTCCCCTCTTTTTTCGTATGCAGTTGTCAATGGAATCAAATCACTATGAGATGAAGCCTCGTTCCCAAAGCTTATCATTTTCTTAAAATATTAGCGAATTGTGTGACTAGCATGTTATTTCACTGTTTTTATTATTCTTAAAACTACATTTAAAAATATTTCGAAAACGCTCTCATAGAATTTGTCCAAACTTTGCCATAATGGAGGCAATTATAGCAGGTATATACTCCCTTAAGCGATTTCTTCAAAAAACTCCTGGAACAGAGAAACACAAAGATAAATGAAAAACGTAATAGCGTCATTACGTTGCCATGGCGACTCCGATTGCAATAAAACCCAGATCATAAGAAATTTTCATCTTTATATAATACAGTAGTGGTAACCGTTTTTCCATATCGTTACTCATGCCGACGTAGTTAATGCTCAAAGTTGGGAGGTATCAACCCCCCAAAATCCAGTCGAGCCACCTTAAACAAGTTGCCTGAGAAGCAGATGGTGGCGCACTTTGATTTCATTGGGTAAAGGATAAATACTCATCACAAACAGACACATTGAGATTCCATAGGCTTTGCTCGGACTTTTGCAGGGACCTTGAAACAAAATTTAGAAACTTTAAGAACTGAATACCCAAAGCATGTGGAGGAAATCATGATGACACCATCGTTAGGGAAGATACGGTTGATCAATTGCATGAGTTGAAAGAGCTGCAATACGGGTTTTTAAAGGGGTAGGTTTCAATTTACATACGTGGAACTCTAATGTACCAGAACTGGAAGCAGATAAGCAGTTCACAGATGATAGCCAGACATATGCCAAGGAACAGCTGGAGGTGAAACCAAATGAAGCAAAGCTACTCGGGCTCCCTTGGGAGAAGGTGGAGGACACCTTGGCTGTGACTTTTTTCGGTGATTCAAACGAAGCCACAAAAAGAGAAGTGCTAAAGAACTTTGCTTTAGCATATGACCTCCTTGGGGTAGCAAGTCCTGTAACCTTGATAGGGGATGATGTGCGGAGAAACATGTGGCGGACACCGCCCTCGGGATACTGTTTTACCCAAAAAACTGAAATCACAAGGGAAACTGGCCTGGTGAGCTTAAATTTCCACGCAGTCTAACTATAGCACAGGAACCGGTCCAGGCCTTAGCCCTGCATGCGTTTTGTGATTCTAGTGGGAAGGGGACAGCAGCAGCAGTGTACGCAGTCGTGCATCAAGAATCTGGTACGAAGAAATGACTTACCATCCCAAGGTTGGAGCTCATTTCTGCTCAAATGGCAGCCAACCTTGTAGACAATGTAAGAAGCGCTTTGGAAGGATGTGTAGCGTCTGGAGTTCTGGCTGAAGGGACCGAACTGGCTTTCTAAACCAGAAATGTGGCCAGCGGTAGTGCAAACTAAGTCAAGTAAAGAGACAGAGGCCAAGCTAGCAAAGGAAGTGTTTGACTACTTCTCCTTGCCACGTCATGAATGGCGATATTTATCCAAAACTGTAAGAAAGGCAAAAAGTACCGGATGTCCGGTCCATTGACGTGTGATACTGACGAGCAAGTGAAATTCTGGGAGGGAAGAGCTCAAAACAGCAGGTTAAACAAAAACAAGTTCCATGAAGACCAGCTCAAACTTAATTTGCCGAAGAATGAAGAGGGTCTGTACGAGTGTAGAGGAAGAATCCAGGGAAGCTACCCTATCTACTTACCACCCGATGCCTTGTTAACACACAAACTGAATTATCAGAGGATGTTAATTGGGTGCAAGAAGTTCCAAGCTACCCCTTTCTCACCCGCTGGGAATTTGCCAAAGATAAAACAAAAGGATCAGCCCCTTTTGAAGTAGTTTGCCTGGTCTTTGCAGGACCAATAGGGTACAAACTCAAGCCAAAAAAAAAGAAGGAAAGGCATACATTTTGTTATTTGCTCCCAGCTTATCCAGAGCTGTCCACCTTGAGTTGCTACGAAGCCAAACAGCTGAAGTAGCTTGAAGTTCATCAAGCTCGCGAGAAAAGGCCGCCCCAGGAAGATTTAATCGGATAACAGGCGAACTTTTGTTACCACAGCAAAGTGGTTGAATGGGGTGGTAAAACTAAACAGCTCTAGAACTACCTCGCTCATCAGGAAATAAGGTGGCAATTTCATCTAAGCATAGCCCCCTGGTGGAGGGGGGGGGGGACATTTTAAGAGAATTTTGGGAGTCGTAAAACATACATTGCACAAGACTATTGGTCGAGCTAGCCTTACGTGGAACGAGTCCGCGGAAATCTTGCTGGATTTAGAAATAGCACTAAATGATCACCCTCTGTCACATGTGGAAGACGACGTACAGCTACTTGTTTTGACCCCATGACTCATGATGTTCGGTCAACCAAGACTTGTCCCAGAAGAAAACACAGAAGAAGGGGATGCCGACTTGAGCAAGAGAGTGAAGTATCTACGCCGGTGTAAAGAGGTTCTATGGAATCGATGGAGTGGGGAGTATTTGAAGTCTCTGAGGGAAAGACACAACATGGAGCACAAAACCAAAGAGATGAACGTCAAGCTAGGAGATGTGGTCCTTATCCAGGATGCTGAACGTAACCGAGAGAAATGGAATATGGGCATGGTTGTCAAACTCTTCCAAGGTCGAGATGGGGTTGTACGAGCCGTCGGGCTGAGAGGAGGAAAAGCTTTCCTTGAAAGGGCAGTCCAGCATCTGTTTCCTTTGGAGCTTTTCTGTGATCAAGAGCAGGGAGTGAGAGAAGACCCCCCCGAAATCCCAGGGCAAGGGAGTTTCGCCCCGTTAGAAGAGCTGCAGCTGTAGCAGCGAACATTCTCCGCATTGCGGAAGAAGAAGCTGTCGAACTTACACTATATTAACTTACACTATATTAATTTGATCCCAAATACTTGTATCAAATAAGGGAGAGTGTTACAATTCGTAGATTGATATTACGATGTTAAGAACGTTTCGTTCGCATTGTTTTCTTTCTGAACTTGTTAGGCGCTCCCGAAGGTCGCCGGGGCCTGGGAGCCGAGGTTTATGGATATTATAGAACGTCGTTTCAAGATTGTGATTGATCAGCAAAAAAAGCACATGGCAAGAATTTGTCCTCTTTACCGAGAGAGAGTTTAAAGCATTAAAAAAGTTCTGTTCTTTATCGTGAGTGTGGGTTTATTGTCTGGAGGAACAGTTCTGACAACGCGAAAGAAATCACAAAAATTGTGTCATATTATATTTAACAGTAATTCTTCGTTTCATGAAACTTCACATAAAAAAAAAAACATCTGTCGACTTACAATCAGATCTAACCTACAAAGAGCGAGTTAAGCGAATCCCGCGCGACTGAGCGCGCGTAATGCGATTACAAATCAATAACATTAGACATTACTCTTGCATGATCTACAGGCTTTCATACAAGAACTCTTCACACTTTTCCATTTGTCCGGATGACGCCTAAAGTAAAACGCTGATCCACCAATTGCGATGACGATAATAATGCAAGCGATCACTATTCCAGCAATAGCGGCTTCGTCGGGCAGTGTTCGTGCGACATAAACACCGCCTGCAAAAAAAGATGAAATAAGAATTTTAAAATTTGGCAGCATTTCATTCTGCTACACTTCGAGGTTTGTTTATCACACTGATCAATGTTTCTTGTAGCGTTTTTATTTCACCAGTGGAAACCACTACACGCATCTGCAAATTTCTGGAGTCATAAATTCTATTTCTATAACAATGCTGGCCAGACAAAAAGCCCTTACGTCTGAGCCTCAAAATAAAATGCAGTTTTTGAACAAGATTCACTTTTTAAGTCTTAGCAGTTTGAGTTGTGCTGTTTTATGGCAGTTTCAGATTTTATTTAACAATTTCAACTGTCAATTATCTAACAATGTAATACCGCATTTTAAACAATGTCCGTGTATTACCTTCACTTGTTTCCAGAACGGCAAACCCGTCAGATATATCCACATCACTCACTTTAAACCAGGTTTTCAAGTCCATCTCGTCTGACGAGTGGTAAAACTGGATTTTAGAGGCGGCGCTGGAGTCCACTTTCATCCCGATTTTGAACTTTTTTTCTGTCCTCAGAGAGTGTGGGTTCACTGTCAAGAAATCGCTGGCGTAACCATGGCCTACGCCCATCCGACCACCTTTCTCTTTAATCATCTTATCACCTTGGTCTGCGGACATAAGCTGAACGGTGATTTGCTGCAAGCGTGGCAGGGTTTCGGGGCTGAAGGTCACGTGCTGCCCACTGAAAATGAAAAATACAACCATGATTTTATGCATTTGAAACATATGAAATGTATCATATTTTGTTCTGCGGATAAATACATGAAAGTGAGCATGATCTTCGCAGTAGAATGAACAACCTAAGCGGTTGAAAAAGAACCTAAAACGTTCAGGCTTCCCGGTCGAATTTTTAAGGTTCTTTATCGACTGCTTAGGTTGTTCATTCTATTGCAAAGATCATGTTCACTTTCATAAGATTTTATCGGCAGCTTACAGTAACTGTTTCAGTCAAAATAAATTTAGCGATATTTATCATATGTAAGAAACTGAACTCGCAACGTGACGTGGTTCTACCATTGATCGCTAACAACAACTTTCCTCTGGACTTCCTTTACGTGGACGGTCACGTGAAACAAACTAGTCACTTCATTGACTTGACTACTTCAACCGGACGAGTAATAACTAACAATTTAATGCTACTTTCACATAATTAGTTTTGTTGAAGCTTACTCAGCAAATTTCAAACTGCCACCAAGTCTACCGATCATCTTGACGATCATCTCGATATCTGTTACAATTATGCGTCCCTTTTGACTGCGATTAGAGAAGTTATTATTCCTAGTGCTCATATAGAAGTAGGTTCCAGTCCCTGTAACTTTCTTTGGTCCAAGGTCAAAGTATGTTCCGGCATCATCCAGTTCTGACATTTCACCGCCAAACTGACCTGATAAGAAACAAAAAATTGGAATCAAGTTTTAGCAGTCATAAAAGTCCACATAAGATGGTCCATGAGAGAGCATATCATTTCAAAACAGGTGCGAAAACTTGCTCATTGTCATAACACCAAATATGACCAATAACGGGTTTAGAACTGTTTTAGACTGCGAGTTTGTACCCCTTTCCCCTATTTGTTTCTCGGTCGTCAGCGTGCACAATGAGCGTAACTGTGTGAAATACGTTAAATATGTATAGTAATGGACAACTTACTTTTGTCCAGTAGCGCCAGATTATGCAGACTGTTTCTGTCCAATCCCAAAAAGTTGGTTTTGTCCAGTAGCGTTGGATAATTTCTTCCCCATTCATCGCTGTTAAGTAGCAGCATATTTGAGCGATCCGTCCCCGCTTTCCCTTGTCCATCATTATTGTTGGGATTCGTGTTTGAACCAGTCCACCTAAATAATGGGTGTAAAAAAAAAATGTAATAACCAAGATTTCAAAGAGATGGGCCAACAGAGCAGATAGCTACTACTCAGGAATAAAAAATCCAAAATGAAGAAAAGAATTAACAATAATTTCTTGCTTACTAAATTCAAAGAAGAGCAGTTTCCTTGGAGCATAGTAAGAAGCAGTTACAGTTGGTTGATGGCTTTATTTTTTAAATTTCGTAGAATAAAGCATCGAGAAAGCCGCCTCTAGTATTTGCCTTACTAAGAAGAGATACTTTGCCTTTAAAAGCGGTTTTTTAACATCATTTCATCGTTCTTGAAAGTCGCGGTTTTTCGATTAAAAAGTGTCTTTGGCGATTGTTGGTTAAATCGTCTCTTTTCAAAGTTTTAAATAAGTAACAATGAGTCTAGTTGTTCTTTCCAAAATCAGAATTCTGTTCTCGTCTATTCTTTTTTTATTATTACGGGAAAGGGCAGGGGGTGTTTGCGGTTTTTTAATGGGCCCCCAATGTGTCCCTCAGGGAAAAGCTGTCTTTGCCACCAGTGAAAGAAACCAAATAGAAGACTTACTGGAAGTGCACGTAATCACCATCCTTGACAAGCAAGGTATTGGGTACAAAGTCATACTCCACACCGGGGTAAACTTGAACTATATTTCCACGCTTTCCACGAACATTTAAGTTGTGGATCCTCACGTTTTGAAGATCTGAAGGTCTCTTGCGCACGGCCAAAGTATGGGACCTAGAAGATGCAAAACATAAAACTTTTGCGGGTCTTTTCTTTTGTTCGACATGGATGGTAACGAATGGTTTCGTTACGCAAAACGAGACGGAAAGGCTAGGGTAGAAACAAGTACCAGTGGCAAACGAAATCTGATCGTTTACTGGTACAAATTTTGTAAAGCATCCGAAAATAAAGGCACAGAACTTAAAACAGCCCTAGGGAACAAATACAAGATTGTTTACTCGTTTTTTCGAGACCGGTCTCGAAAAGAGCCGATATTGTCGACCACTAATCGGCCGAAGAATGCCAAAATACACAATATCCAACAGGTCTATAGTAAGGTACGTGGGTTACGTGTCCCGAATGAATTATCATGAATTATATACTACGATCTTTACACGAAAAGCATACATTCAGTTTTCACCAATTCGCTGAAGTTACCTGTCCTGGAAAACCCTGCCGTATTGGTTGGTGTTTACAGCCAGTCTTAGCTTGAGATCAAAGCCCGGAAACAGCACAACCTCAGGATTTTGTTTGTACACATAACCTCTCTGGACAGCCACAGTTTCGTTCATGTTGTAATTTTTTCCAATATCAAGCTTAGTTTGCTTTAATCCATTCATAGAGCTGTTAATGGATGAGTCCCAACCATCATAGTCACCAGTGGAAATGTTGTATCTAAAGAAATGGTTCAATGATCAGCATGCTATCCAAAAAGGGGTTCACATTTTAACTAATAACCAGGGCCTCATAAATAATTACTTACATCATCATTCGAAGCAAATTTTGATCTGCTCGCCACAGACAAATCACGATATTTTGCTCAACCTCGTCCAATAATTGTTAATTATTCAACCCGGACACATGTGGCATGTGACTCAACATTAACACATTCCTAGACTCACATTCTGACATGCAATTTAATAAAACAGATTTTTTTAAGTATCGATTACGTACTTCTGACCCTCAAACTCAACATCACTGGTACTTGATAGATTGGTTCAAACGGCAATTAGCGGCGGCGCTCGTTGTGTCGTTTGATTAATGGTAATCTGTTTCCATGTGGTTCTGATCTCGCATAGCAGAGAAATAAAAGTAAATATGTCAGAATAATAAGTCTGCCAGTAAAAAGCAGAACTGTATAGTTTACCTGATTCGTAAGACGCAGTTTTCATGATCCAAATCAGGCACGGTCCAGTTGTACTTGTTCGCGTATCCTCCCTTGCCGTTGCCAAGGTGATTGTCACGTGACCAGTCTGTTTCCCTGCACTCGGGAGCAGGGAGTCCATGTGATGGAAATTCCTTCCAGGTGGCATTTATTGACTGCAAATCAAATAAACAATTGAAGAATCTTATACGTGTCTGGCCGTTATCTTATACTTGCAGCCTCTCAGTTTGTGTCACTGTTTGGTCAAGTACAAAAAGTAGAAATTTTCTGTCCAGATATCTAAAAATAAGAAAGCGGGTGGCTGTCTCAATATACTATTCCTTTGAGTTGTTTCTTATTTTTTGTATTTTTTCTAAAATAATATTGTCAAGTCTATCAAAGTAAACACCCGCGCATGACAACCTAGTGCGTTAAGAACCTCTTTGCAGAAATTTGCCACTTTGATAGCCAAAAATACAAGAACCTGTTCAGCCAAGCAAAATCAAGCAGGTTCTTATATGTGGGTCACAGGTAAATTATGATAAATAATTTAACCACGGAGTGTAACTTTGATTTTACATAAATTTAAGTACAAAATCAAATATCTCCTTCATAGAAAATAATAACCTACTTAGCCTGAATTTCCAATAAGTACCCCAAAATACAGGAAACTATTTTGCCAGACACAAAAAAAGGTTCTTATTCGCGGGTGTTATTGTATGCGAACCTGCACACAGACGAAAAAAAAAACTCTGCACCGGAAAGCTTCAATCTACAGCCGTTCTTGTGGAGGACAGTTCGTTGACAACAGACAGGAACGAACTGCTCACCGAGCACAAAAATTCTATGAAAGACTCTACTCATCGCATAGCCCTGACCTTGAACCTCCCGATCCGGAGGTGCAAAACTAGAACCTCTTGCGGTCAAGCATTCAAAAAAAGGAAAGGCTCCTGGACCTAACAATATCACAATTGAAACCATCTACAAAAAGGTTAGTGGTCCTCTTTAACGAATGCCTAAGGGAAAGCAAGGTTCATTAAAAGTGGAATGAACCGATCATTATTCTGCTGTACAAGAAAGGAGACCCTAAGAACATTTCCAACTTCCGTCCAAGGCCTTTTAAACAACATCTACAAACTTTTCAAAGTCATCATGAACCAAATGACCTGCGCCAAAAAAGAGAACAAGCCGGGTTCCACAAGGGATTTCCCGCAACAGACCATTGCATTTCCACGTTGTAAACAAACTAATCGAAAAAAGAAAAGGATACAAATTTCCTCTAGCCGTGGGTCTGGTTCACAACAACAGGACCTTCGACTCGGTCGAGATCATTCCGGACGTCTTCGATGCGCTTAAGGAGTAAGGAATCGCACTCGTCTAAATCACCGTTCTACAACACACCTACAAGTACACCAAATCCTACATCAGACTCCACTAAGACTCCAAACTATTCAGACTGCAAAAGGGATTACGACAAGGTGATACGATACCAGTTCTCCCAAACTGTTCATTGCCTGCTTGGAAAAGGTCTTTCGCAAACAACAATGAAAAAAGAAGGGAATCAAAATAGATGGTGATTACCTCGGTCATCGGTTATGGTTCGCCGTCGCAGTTTTCCCTTTCAGAAACGGTCGCCGTCATTTTTAAGACACTGAAAAAAATTTTGACCTGTTATTGAGAGTGTTTCGATGAAAAAGAAAGGAAATCGCAACACAGCGTCGAGCCCGGACCTCGAAACCGGACGGCTTTCGTATTCTTATCTCTCCACTGACTACACCACCGATTCGCCGAAATTCCAAACTAACATAAACTAACAAAATGTTTTTTTTAACTGATATACGACTAACAGGTGACCCTAGCCCTTTCCAAAACTTTTTACGCAAATTCAACTTGGGCTTTAACGTCGTTCTTTCGAAGACTATTCAAAAACGTATTATTATTTGGGCGTCGGCCAAACAGAGTAACCGAGTTCGCTTGTTTTGATTCAAAGTTGCGATAGGCACGCAATACGTGCGAACGTAAACAAGCCAAGTAACAAGCCAAGCGACGCGAAAGTCTGTTGCGCGCTGTGTCACAACACAACATTTATCTTCGTTACATGCGACCCACAGATAACGCACGGCAACAAATCGGCAAAAGAAAACAAACTTTTTGGAAAAACAAGGTACAAACTATTAAATAATTCAAATTTTCTCTTTGGAAAATAATCGTCCTCGCAGCACACGGTGTGAATGGTTTGGCTTATTGCCAAGAGTTTGACAATAGCTCTTTACTTTCAGTTACCGAGCGCCAAAGAATATGTTACGCAAAATTTCATGATCTTGTGCATGAGATAATCAAGGGTAATATTGAATGATGCATAATTTCATTGTATGCTTTCGTAAAGGAGGTGATTTCTTAAAATCTTATAGAGCAAAATGACCTCGTAAACAAGTTGCATTCTTTCACGGTCGAACCGTAAAAGGGGCAGAGTCCAACATCTTCACGTGCAAACCGCGTCTATGTTTAAAACCTTTGGGTTGATTAGATTAAGTTGTATTCTATCATACAAAAACCACAAAACGGCAATTTCCAAAGTTTTCACGTGCTAACTGCGTGACAATACAACTCACAGTAAGGGCCTAATCACATGAGCTGGGGAAGCAATGCGCATGAACAGTGTGTTACCCGCTGTCCTGTTTCTCGCTTGGTTCATTCGCCGGGCCGCCCGGCAAGCGCGATCGCTTGGAAATTTCCATCCGGGCTGGCTCGGTTGTCATATAATCGCAAAGTTGACTTTTGTTGCATTTGACTAAGGTGCCGGGTTTTCTTGCAAAGCGAGCCAGCACGGCTCATGTAATCAGGCCTATAGTTCTATCAGATTTTACCACCTTCCCTTGACCTCACCCATTTTTCAAAGCCCTCGAGCACACACACAGAATTTCAGCCCCCCTTCAACATCTTCATACCCCTTCTCTAAATGAAATGAACGTTTTTTTCCTAAACAGAAAGCGTGAGAACCTTTGAAATAAGTACAAGTTTGTTTTACACAAGCAACACCTCATTTCAACACACTGTAACTACACTATCCCTTCATAACCAAACTAGCGCTTCCACAACTACCTCACTGCAACACCTAAAATCACTTTCACCCCCCTTGTTACTTCATAGTAAATTCTATGAGAAACAAATTTCACTGATTAACAAACTATAGCCATTATCTTACCAATTCACGTTCAATATAACTTCACGCCTTCCACTTCCCGCATCTCAACCAACCCCTAAAATATACAACACTACTACACAACTCACACATCCCTAATACACATAAAAATCTTCACACACGCGTAGTACATAGACGCCCAAATGTATGCTCCCACAGCGTCTTGTTTTTTCTTATTGTCTAGGGAATATATTAAATCTATCATGACTTTTAAGGCTTGGTTACTAACGGTGGCATCGACAGTTAAAAATGGGCAAAGACCGTTTACGAAAGGGAAATAGTCTTCGCCGTCAACATCATTATTTTTTGTCAACAGTATTTAAGAACTCCAAGAAATGCTACACGAACTCAACCAAGCTAGCCTTAAAGTCGGGCACAGCATGAACCTATGAAGACCAAGGGTGTGTAAGACGAGTTCACTGAGGACTAAGACGTACCCACTTTCACTGACAGCAACAAAGAAGTCAATCATTACCTCGACCTCGGTCATTGCGTTTCCATGGATTCCGCCTCAAAGGAACAAGAAATCAAACATCGTATCTCCTTCGGATGACAAGCTGAGCATCTTCCCAACAGTCACCTATACAGTAGAGCTGAATCTTACGAATAACAAACCTTGAACTCAGAACTATGCAGAGAGCCCACGAAAGAATCATGCTTTACATCAGGTGGAGAGTTTGTTAAACAGTTCAATAGATCCAGAGATATGTCCAGAATCCTGGACGTAAGTTTAGAGCCGAGAAAAAAGTATGAGATATCATGGAAAAGATAAGCAAACTCAAACGGAATTGGGATGGTCATGTGGCGAGAACGACAGAAAACCGCTGGACGACCCACATTACGTTCTGGAAGCCCCCGGCGGAAAAAAAGGAACCGAGGAAGACCAAGGACAGATGGAGGGACGACTTGGATAGTTTCATAAAACGCTAGCACCGTGTCGCGCAAAACGTGGACCAGCGGTGGTTAATGGGGAAGGCCTACGTCAAACCACGGACATAAAACGGCTGAAACTAAAACTGAAACTGAAGCTGTATACAGACCTCTTCAGTCAACTGTCAATTACTGTTAATAAATAAATGCAAAGTATTGTTAAATGCAAAAATTCTCAACAATAAACGAAAACGTCCGTAAGGCTATACCTTGGGTTACAACATAAGAAACACTCGGATTCATTCGCGTTGTATTAAGAAGGCGTTTCGCATACTGTTGTCTTTTGTGTTTATGAAATACGGTGCTAAAGTTTGTACGAGCTTAGGAGTTGACTGAGACTCTTCACACAATTTACAAGAGTTTTTTTTGTCTTTAACGCTGTTGTCGTTGTTAATTTTGTTGTACCTTGCAGTCCTTTTCGTTGTTTGGTATTTTATAATTTCTCCATTTCATTTTTTTTAAGTATTCTTCGGGTAACTTGCAGGCCCACCGTCCTTTCACATTCTCGCTTTCTGATTGGTACATCTCACATCTTGAGACATCATTTGTTAAAACTGCAATGTCCTAAAATACAACAACATAAGATTGAATTCAATACTAGCTTACTCGAATAATCCTACCTCGAGGAACCTACTTGAAACAAACGCTCTGACTGAAAAACATCCTAGGAACGGTATATGAGAACAAACATCGAAAGAGGAATGCTAAGTTTTACAATGAAATTTGAATCGATGCCTACATCCGTAGAACGGAGGGGTGGGTAACTACGTGTACTTCTTACCTTCCAGGGGGTGGGGTGCCAGTAAGGGTAATTATCCCGCTCCTCTGGACATTCGTAACCGCGCCGCGTCCCGCCTGGGTTTTGTCTTGTGGAAGTGGCTGAATCACGTTTTAATTTCTAAGAATATTGAACAAAAGGTAAAAAGGTCTAAGGTTATTTACGTCTGCACCTAGTATAATTCAAACGGAAAATATTGGAGCTAATGTGTCTACCAATTAACAGGAGGACATATCTGAGTTTATCTTTCATATTTTGTAACCTGTCTTAATAATTGAACCCAAACTTTTTCACCGTGGAAAATTTTCCTGGCCATTAGAAAGAAATTCAAAACTATTTTTAATTGACATGGACAAGAAAACTCTTTCTGTGTGTACTTGATGTGACGTTCTTATTTAAAGTTAAAACTCAGCCAATGATTACTATCACTGAAGCATGCATTGTGCATCAACAACAACAAAAACAGGCCACACCTGGTCTGCAGTAAAAAGCCCTTTGTTTCTGTTCCTGTATTTACAGTTTGTGTAATAATCATAATCCTCATGCATTCCAAACCTACATAACAAGATTAAAGAAAGAATTTTGCTCTATTCAGTCACGCCAGTCTTGCCAACCCCCAAGAGGCAACGATCTTGAGATTCTGAACCTAGAGCTGGGAAAGTAAGGTGAAGGGGTTAAAAGACGTGAGATGGCCCAAATTTCCTAGCGGGAGACCTTTAATCAAGAACTATAGGTGCAAGAATTCACGTATCATTTTGAAGCAGCGGAGCAGTATCATCACGATCAATCCTCGTCGCTGCTGACGTGCGCACTTTTGTTGCCCTCCATCTTGACGCGAACGCAAACATAAACGCGAGGCGTTTTCTTTAGATTGAGTTCAGTTAGCTGTCTAACTTGGAAACGAACCTTACGAATGCACCAAAACAGTTTTTGCACAGTAATTTTTAAAAGAAAGCGTGAGAAATCAGTTATTAACTCGTGAGAGCGTAAAACAGGTCGTGAAATCGTGGGACTCGTTTTGACATTCAATCTGAAATGTATTAGCCATCAGAGTCACGTGATAATCAAGCTCGTTCACAGTCTAAATGGGGGTCAAATATATAAAAGAGTTTCAGAAATATTGAAAGGAGTCCTCTTTAAAACTAAAATTTAAAGTTTACAAAGGCAGACTTTTTGCAATTAATGTAATTTACCTGTCATCGCTATTGCAGTCATAATTTTTACACAATGCTGGGTTATCTGGGATGGTTCTAAAAAGTAAAGACAAAAATATATTGCGTCAGATTTGTGTTAATCCTGTATTTACATTTGGATCACAAGAAGCTCATATCATACTGTACATATACATACTGTGTAGTGATTCCATTTCTCACATTGTCGCCACACAAGTACTGGAAAATCATTTCACAGTGGTTGTTCGGATCCGCACAAGAATGCTGATTTGTCCTACAGTGTAAGTAAAATATAGGTCAATATTTGTGGCGGGTATCAGCAGGTGAACTTCACTATGAGAGGTTTCAGCCTCAACACACCTTATTTTTTCAACTACACACCAAACAAATGTATTATAAGGGTTTGTCTGTGCTAATTAGAAGTATTTGTATAGCTAACATCTTTTACGTCAAAGCGTACATGATTGACAGCTTCTTGTACACGGCATAAAAAATCGAGCAAACAACGCGGAAAAGTTCAACGAAAGTCTTTTTAAATATTTTTGCAGTACTTGCTGAAGCACGAAACTACAAATTAAGGTAACGTACAGACACTAGTCATAACTTCTTCCACTTTTTGAATTCTTATTTAATTGGTACAAAACACCAACGCCAGCTCCGTAATTGATTGTCACTTGGCAGCCATGAAAGAAGTGGACTGTCATTGTTTGAGAGGCAGGATAGTTCTGCTGAAAGGGTAAACTGGAGAGAACTGGACGGGGATTCTCGACCGGTTGGAAGAAAGGAGAGCTGATGATAGATGTGATCTCTCGCTGCTCTGTTTCGTCACCTTCTTCATAGTCTGCCAGTGAGCATTCACATGTGGGGCCTGTTACACCGATCATAGCACTTCTTGGCTGATAGGAAGCCTTCACCTCTTCACCAGCGTTTTCCTTACCGAATGGTTGGTTAACTTTCTTCCCTCTATACATTCAACTCTGCCAAGGCCATATTTTTCATGAAGGAGTCGATCTTATTGACACCCATTCTCTGTTTCTTGTACCAGACTTCGGATTTAGGGTTTCTACTTTTCAATAATGGCGAGATAAAAAGGGCCATTTCTTCGCATTTCTTCAGGTCTGCGGGCAAGAAATGTTTTAGCCTGTGCCAGGCTCTCAGATAGTATAGTGCGGACATATTAAAACGAGCCCGCGCGTTTTTCGCATTTCTTTTTACTGAACGACTTTTCACCACTATCTCGGAGCCTGGAACAGGCTAGAAATATTTTAAAGAACGAGACTGGACAACGGGGACCACCCGGGGACTTGGCTCAATAGCTGTGCGTTTCTTCCTTAGGCCGCCTTGCCGGGTCTTAGTTGGGTTTTTCTCAAATGTTATGTACTCTGTACCTTGATCGTACTTGTTCAAGATGAACATTTCATGGTACTCCTGGCAACAACGAACGCCAAAATGAAGGGTTAGCAGATATATACCATAAGGTATAAAGGAGTGATTTTGGATTGTGGTCGCCTAGTACTTGGTTCTTCCATAGCTGCTCTTCATCTTGGACGGTAAGTGCTTTTGTTGCATTTGGTCGTTTTCCGTGGCCTTTCTCGCGAAGAGCTCTTGCTTTTCCCTCCAGGACTTGTCTGCACACCATAAATTCTCTGTCCTTTGCTATGGTGATTTTACTTTCATTTTATCTCAGGTGCCTGTCGAAAGCAGCCAGCATATATGACCTTTAGAATATCTGGCTGATACTCAGAGCCGTCACTTTTGCGAATCGCGAGAGATGCTCGTTCAGTTCTTTGGCATTGTATTTTAAATGTCGTCGTTAAGACCCTTGGTTGTCGCCCACATCTTCCAAACATTGATCCAAGTCTTAGTAGTTTTGATTGCATTTTTGTTTACTAACTTTTCGGCGAGCTGTTGTATTTCGTCCCCAGAAATTTCTTTTTGAAAACAAAAACACAAATATACGCGCCTATGCTGTCGTCATGGTAACTTCGTTATACCATCAGAAAAACGGCTGTAGTGTCTTGCTCAGTGTAAGGAAAGCGGATCAAGAATACTTGCGCGAATACCGCGAGGGGGCATTTTTACTCGTTCGCTATTTCACTCTTCGCTCGAATCGATCGCGCGAGCCTGGCACAGGCCAGTTTGAACCAGGGTTCGAATAGAATTTCTCGCGCCTGAGAATAGCCATAAACGATGATCCTTCGAGCCGGATACAGGAGGCCGGATACAGGAGGATCGGCCTTGGATTGTAGAGACGTAGAATCGAAGCATGGCGAAAATATCGGCGAAATCGCATGTTGAAGTGTCAGTTGTAGACAAGCAAAGTACAATCGTGACACGTGGAGGGCACCTGCCGAGGTATTTGAGTGATTACACCGAAGTTCCCGGCCAAAACAAGCTCAGACAATCAAGAACAGAAGGAAATTAATGCGAGCAAATTTGACGCGGAAGATGAAAATCATAAAGGAGTATCAAACGGAACGGAAAGACCGTAAGTTAATTTAGCGTGCATGTACTCAACTAAATCGACCTTCGGATCAATTGATCGACAACCATGGAGAATTTCAAGCTTTGTGTGATGACCATGAAGAACTGCAGGAAGCGAACCGACTACTCTACAATGCAAAGGTTGAGACAACGCCCGAGCTCAAGCAAAAACATGTCCCTATAAATGATATTAAGTACTCAAAGCAGAAAGTTAAAGAATGGTTAAAAACAGTCTTACAGTCTGTCCTTTACTTGGGTCTAAACGTTTAGACCCAATTCAAAATTAGAAGGATTTGTATGGAGTCATCAGAGCATAATTGGGTTATAATATCTCAGAGGCAATTTGCTCCCAAATGCTACTTTTTGGCAAGTAGGCGTCTTAGACGTTGTTCTTTCAGAATATCTTGACAAATCCCATAATTTCACAAATTTAATTTTTATGACGTCATCACTTTAGAACTCTATTTTACTTCTCGTACAACGTCTCAACGGTTGCCGACGGCTGCCTGTAATGCGACACCGACTCTCTTGTGAGAAAGTAAATTACGTTCCAGCTTGGGGCGCCTGTGATGTATTTATAAAAATTGTTTCAAGTTACCGCTGGCAACGTTCACTCTTTTCTGATCCGTGGTAAAGAAGATCGTGTGTCCAAAGTATCCGGTTTTGAATGTGATCCAAAGAATCCATCTCCCCTAAGGATCATTTGGATCAATAATCCGTTTTTGGATTTTAGTAAAGAAACGATCGGATTTAAAATCCAGATTTGGATTTTAGTAAAGAAACGCACCCTTAGTATAAACCCCGGTACTCTACGGACGACGTTGAACGTTGAGTTGCGAGTTGCGAGGGGTAACTCTCTCTAAAATCATGACAAATAGTGAACAAAAATTCAGAAAAGCAACAAAGAACTTACGCATGAAGTGGCGGAGCTTAAAGTGAAGCTAGAGAAGGTTTTAAAAGGAGTTATTCTTGAGCGTAAAAACTTCATTACATATCTTGTTAATTGATGAAAAACTATCATGGGAGACTCATATTCACTCTGTTGCAAATAAAGTAAGTAAAACAATTGGGCAGGACTTAAATTGCGAGGTTAAGACATATTATTGTTCCCACTTGCAACCTCCTAAATATTTATCAGTCACTAATCGCACCTCAACCTGACATCAGGCCCAATTTTAGCAGTCCTCATACATTCTCTCTTATGTGCTCCCGCTAAAATCTTTTCGTTCCCCGCCGGAATGATATTTACAAAGCGAAACGAAAATAGAGCCTGCCCCCCCCCCCGGGGCCTGATATCAGGTTAATTGCACCTTTTCTATTTAAACTTACGGTCTCATCTCTTGCGGCAACGGCCTGTAAAAATTTCCTTGACCAAATTCTTCAAGTTCTTCAAAAACGCGCATTGCGTTTAATATATTTTGCTGAAACAAACCGCGACCACGCGATGCCTTTTTTTGTGCCTCAACCTCTGAACATTTTCATACTAAAGAATCTCGACTCAATGTCAAACGAAATGCTTTCTAGCGTGTTGGGGTCAAAATTTGGAACGAGATACCTCAAATAATTTTTCTTAATAAAAAGACCGCAAAAAACCTTTTAAAAGATTATTAAAAGCAACGCTATTACTGACGTAGACAAGATCATTGTGAAAATGAAAAAGTAATTACCATTCACTCCATATTTTTCCTTGGACTTAAGACGAATAGTATATTTTTATTTATTGTAGATATATACTTATATAAAGTCTAATTTTTTTGGATTTATTCTGTTTGTTGTACTGTAATTATGTAGCCTGACCTGCCTCAAACAGTAAGTTAGACCTGCCTCGACCTTGCTAACTGTATATATGCCAGTCCCAATATATTTTGTAATTTATTTACGAATTTAAATAAAGTTAAAAGTTTATGTAGCTGTCTGTCAAGTTAGTTGCAAGATATTCATGTATGTATTGCCATTAGCTGTGTTCTTTTTAGAGAGTTGTTTGACTTCAAATAATTGCTGTAGCCTATGAATTCAGCCACCTCTCCTACATTATGAAGATCCTACCACTAGGAACATTAAATTTTTGTGGGAGAGACGTCTGCTATTCGGCCCAAAAAAAACGGGTTAATGACACATTAGATTTGTCACAAAATCTGGTCAATGAGTGCCGTTTGATTGACGTAGATCAAAATAAAATAATGTAGAAAAATGTAAATGCCACAAATCTGCTTAAACAAGGTTTAGTTTTGCTGCTGCTCATTCAAAAAAGAACTCAAAGCTTTACAATAATCCCAAAGAATCGTGGTACAAGATTTTCATAAGAATTTTTTATTCATGATATATTTGTTTCAATGTTTTTCATTTGTCTCTCGGTCTGTTTGACCAGATCGTTTTATTCACATGTGGTTTAAAAAATCTCGACCTTCAGTGAAGAAGTTAACATGCATAATCAAAGTTGTCTATCAGATTCAAAACATCACAAGCGGTACATTGGGGATGTGGACATCGATAGTTAGGGCAGTTGAGATGTGAATAGGCATAAAGTAGTATAAAACTTAAAGGGTGAATTGAGCAAATACTGGATAAACATACCATTCAATAGGCAAGACTGAACCCTCATAGTAGTACAACTTTCCAACATTGTATCCTCCACGATTATTATTCTGTGAGTCAAACATCCTATTGGATTAATATGAGTCATGCTGTCAATAAAGATGTGCATTTTACAAAAACAGCAGACAAGCAAAAACACTTAGCGCTGACCTGTTTGCATTATTTCTTTCTCTACGAGCTTCATCCAGACGATTGTTGGACCCTCTAAATAAGCAGCAATAAGTGTAAATTTTCATTAATTCATCACATTATTCTTATACAGATTTCACAGCTAGGGTAGTACTAAATCTTGGGTAGTACTAATATCCCCAAACGAAGAAAAATAAATAAATGGATAACTGAGACACCTGCAGTTACATAACATTAAGACTGATTAAAAAATCAATAATTATTTATTAGATAAGATAAGTGTATATATGGTGGGACTCACAATGGGGTAAGACTAATCCGTGGAACTACAAACCGTGGAACCGGCAGAATCTATGGAACCAAAAGAAATGACTGTTTTATTACAACTTCCTTTGGCTAATGTGATTAAATAATTAGTTAAATTATTATTAAATTTTTACAATGACTGAGCGATTTCTCACCCATGGATTGGTCGAGAGCTATTGTCAATAAACAGCACAGACACTGAACATTGTTTTCAATTTCCAAAACCAGGAAGTCCATGAATCCAGCTTGTTGGTGGTCATCGGAAGGAAACAGTGTAGTAAGGTATAGTTTTAAACACAGAAGGATGAGAGAACGATGAGGGTATTATTAGCGCCTGCTGTCACTTCTCGTGACCACTCTACATCTGCCATACACACAGAATCTTTGCGACCTCCTCAAACTCATTCTAGCTATAAAGTTAAGTATTATTCCATCTCTTACCTAAATATACTTTTCATCCCATATTAAATTTATATCAAACTGCTCATTCAAATCTTTCTCCTTTCTCTAGGTAAAGGTGTTGCTCAACAATGGTATTGATTATTGAAATTGTTGTTTATACTAAACCTACAGACGAACATCAGTACCTTTTACGCTCATCATGTCACCCCTTACACACTAAATGAGCTTTTCCACTCAGCCTTGCCCTGAGAATATGACGTATATGTTCATTCAACGAGAAGTTCAAACTGCGTTGTAATGAATCAACACAAGCACAATACCTCAACAGACGTGGATACGATCTCGGTCTCCTCAGCCAGGAGATACAACATGTTCATACAGTGTGTACTATCAAACACATTCACACAAGCAACTCACCCACACGTATCCCTCTAGTTGTCGGATATCACTCAGCCACTTGCTCAATATCTTCTATTTTTCACAAACAGAAATACATTCTCTCATCCTCCCAACTTTGTGCTACTATGTTTAAATGTATACCTCTCATTACCTTCCTATGCACTATCAAGCCAGAAATCCACTAAGTGGACTTCCCATTTGGAACCAGACCTCTCAATTAATGTTATGGTGTTATACACTGTTCAAAGTCCCCTATTTTCCACAAGATTGTCGAGAAAGAGTGCTACAGGCGCCCATCTTGACCGAGTCTAACTTGAACTACTTAAAAAGGCAGGAGACGCTTTGGGAACCCCGAGACCCACCCTCTTGGTACATTTGAATTCAATCACAAAATGGCTGCAATTGAAGGTGAGTGCTCAACCTCGACGACCTTAAGGAAAAATAGGGGACTGTGAACAGTCTATCAGTGTTATAATTGATTGTAACTACTTATTTCATCATGTTAGCCAAAGGGAGTCGTAATAAAACAGTCATTTCTTTAGGTTCTGTAAGTTCTGCCTGTTCTGCAGGTTCTGCGGTTCACCAGTCTGCAGTTCCACAGATTAGTCCTACCCCTGACAATGTTCAAAGCTCTGTTCACAGTATCTGGTCCAGGAAGACATCCCGTTTTGCTAAACAATAAAGTTTTACTCTCTGATTAGGATTCAAGAACCCCAAATACTATTTGTTCTGTAAATTAATATTATTTGCCGATGCAATTCTCTCATTTAAAAAGCCCAAGGAAAATATATCTTCACTCGGACAGATTGAAAAAGAAAACAGTTTGAGCTGGAGCAAATGAAGAACACAGGGGCACCCAACGAGAATATAGTTCAAAATCACTTAAACACAGCATTAGTAAATGTATTTTCGTATTTAAAAGGTAGATATAGGCATATTTTTATCCCCTACAAATTTTTCATCTGTTCGGATTTCCTAGCTGAAAGTCTAGTGATCCGAAAATTATAGGGATCAAAACTTACCTTTTCGAAAATTTTAGCCAGAAAATAGGCTCCCGAAAATTCTAGGTGAACTTTTTAGGGTAAAAATTAGTTAAAAATGGGCAAGTATACCATTTTTTATTCGTTCGAAAATCCTAGGAGAGGCATGCAAGCAAGAAATTTTACAACAAATGTTCCGAAAATTCTAGATCTCAAATCGTCTTCCGAACAGATATTTTCCCGAAAATTGTCGTTGGGTGCCCCTGAAGAACATTGTACAGTTAAATTAAGAACTCTCTAAATTTAAATTATTATTAAGACGATAGAGAGTTAATCAGAAGGGATTACCCTGTTATCATTACGGGTCGGAGGCAAACTAGTTGACTGTTTGGTAGAAATACTCCTGGAAATATTAAAGCAGTTCAAGAGTAGAACCCTGCAGGATCTGCTGGTATGTTTCAGTCATCAAAAATTTGATACTTATTCTGAAAGGCTTTCTTACCTAGGATTATGCATATAGAGGTCTGCCGAGACAAAAATCCAAAAATGCGAAAGCAAAAGAAAAGTGTTCATCTTTCTGCTCGAATCAGAGGTGCCACTCTATACCAGTTTGAGATATCGCAGCAACATCCATCGGAGGTGTGATTTTGAAATCACTTTCACTTTAATATGACAACTGGTAATAGTACCAAATATAGGCATGCATTATAGACGCCCGGAACATGACATCATTGATTTGCTGTGCATGTCAAGTGTGTATCAAACTTCTGCTCTCCAAACTTTGGCCTCAAACAATGTTTGTGTTTCGTTTGTCCTCTTTGTTTATGGTTCTAGAATCACTGATCTATAAAATAGAATTTGAAAAACGTAGGAAACGAAAATAATCGCTGTCTAGCTAACGTCACGCAATGATAACTAGCAATGTGACATTTCATTTCATACTACTTGACGAGGTGTACAGGGATTTACAAGGATGCTTTGGTATTCCAAAATGGCGGCCATTGGCGTGGGTGCAATTTAGCAGCTCATTCAGCAGCTACATTGTAGGTCTTGGTGAGAAATTTTTTTTCTATTTATTTTTCTTCCGGATAAGTGATACAAATTATTTCACAATGCCCAAGCAGGAAATAACCTCCTTAAGGATATTCCGGTGTTAGTGGGGATGCCACGTTTTCAGAAATTACTCTTGGTTTGCAACCACGCAAGGGGGTTGTGTTTCATATACCGGAATCTAAAATCATTGTAAGTAAAACAAAGAATAGATAATTAACAATTATTCTTTGAAATCGAGGGGAATAGTGGCAAAATATTTACCGAGCCACGAAGTGGCGAGGTAAATATTCCTAAAGCCACTATTCACCGAGATTGAAAAGAATAATTGTTTTAGTATATACACACGAAGCGATCTCAACAGAAACCATTAAAAAGTACGATTTGATTCACAGATCAGGTCAGCTAGACACGCGACAGTTTAAAAATAGATCTTTGTAGAATTTTCAAACATGGCAATTCACAAGCTTATCACTTCGCAAACAACAGCGTAATGAGTTAAATGGAACCACTAAAAGTTTGAATTGTTTCCTTACATACCTGAGAAGAAAAGAAGAGCTTTGTTGTTTTCTGTTGACTCGCCAAGTTTATAGCCGAAAAGGTTTGTTGTGTCGTTCTTTGCATGAAGTACTGACAAAAATGGCGATTCGGTTCCTCGAGGTAAGACGTCGTCTTCATGTAGCATTCTTTCTCGTGTTTACTTGAAATGTAGAATTTCTGCAAACATTTGCTTTCAAATTTGTTTGTCATAAATAAACTTCGTTTTTGGGGCAGATTTTTCATGTTAGGAAACGCTGAGTTTACCAAACGGCCTCTTCTAGGCGAATAAATGGGAGTTGTAAACAATCCATCAACCACAAAACTCAACAACAGTAAATGGAAAAACGCTGTTTTGAATCCTTCGAAGTCTTTTCTTGCCAGAAAAAAAGTCAACCCTAGGATTTTGTCGACTTTTAAAAGATCTTTCTCTAAGAAGATGGGAAAAAAACCGTGCTCACACATTATCCACTCGCTGGGAGGTGAATATTGTAGAATAGTCTGAGATAGTGAACCAATCAGATTGCTTAAATCACCAAGATCACTGAGTGTGTATATACTAAAAAAGATGTCGGTGGATGACAATGGATAACGAACAAAACATGAATAACAATTTAGATGGAAAACAATGGATTCCGGTTAGAAGGTCGACATCAGTGTTATGGCGGCCTCTTAAACCTAAAAATAAAGTAAGCTTTTGACTTGTAACCATCACCCCCCCCCCCACCCTCCTCCGGGAACACCCCCGGGGATTTGCAATTTTTTTCTCACTTGGAGGTCTATTCCCCACCCCCTGGCATGCAGAAAGAGACAATTCCTTACCTCTGAGCTCCTGATCGACCTCATATACCTTTTTGGGTAAATCTTTTTTATTCGTACAAAAGCAAAACGAGACGTTTTCACAACTTTTATAAACATTTTACTGTCTTTATTGAGAGAAGGATAATGGATGTCATAATGTATTTAAAACGTGAACAATAAATTTGGAAACAAAAACGAAGAAGAAAAACTCTTTAAAAGTGCCTCCTTGATATTCTAAAGACCACTTCATAAGAACACTGGACCAAATCTCTGTTTTTCTGTCTATGTATATATATCAAAAGCCTTGTATTTGTTTACATATAACTTTTCTTATCATTATTTAAAGGTAGGCTGAAGAAATATTTCTGTACTTCATTTCCAGAAAATAAAATCCCTTTGGGTAGGCATCATACGCACATTTGTATCAAATTTTAAAACATAACTTTAAATTCCGACTTTAATTTTGACTAGTTATTCCTTTCCAACCACTCTCCAACAAATTCCTGCATTTTTCCTTAAGAATACGTAGTCTTGAGGTCTGCAGCCGTCTTGTAAATCGCATGAAAAATGGTATGTACTTCGCAAAATCAAAGAGAAGATACCTTTGATTTGCCCCACCCCCTGCTGCCCCCGGGACAGAACCACCTCAAATAATTCTCCACCCCCGGGCCTGAAGGGCTGGACTTGTGGCGGGGGTTACCCGGGGAGGGGGGGGGGGGATGGTAACAGGTCAAATTGAACAGTGCATTATGTATGTGAGCTTATGTATGTATGTATGGATATGAAAGTCTACCCAGGCAGCCAACCTCTGATCAAGGAAAATCTGGAGACTCATGAAGAAAAATCTAGAGATTCTCATTTTTTCCAGATCAAGGTTAAACGAACCCTTATTCTATTGGGGGAATTAATTGTTTATTTAAAGATAACCTTGTTTTAGTCTGGTCCCATGTATAATGACATGATGCTACTTTTTAGCTCTCTGGTGACTCAGAAGTGGTCATCACTGGATAAAACTTACAGCAAAAGGTTGTTTTCCCAATAATTGATAAATTAATGGAAACTTTATTTGTGTTTTTGAATGTACAATTGTAAATCTCACTACGTATAGGCAATTTACAAATGCTGCTTGAGATTGGATTATTAAAAAGAAAAAAACAAAAACAAAAGCAAAAATAAAAACAAAACAAAACAAAAGCCAAAAACAAAAAAATGTCAAAATTGCATTAAGTCTGGGCTATCCCAGCTCCTGTTTCTACAACAAAAGATGTAATATATTGCTCTAATGGCTATATTTATCATTTTTTTGATTATATAACATTGCTGCTTTTTGTCAATGTCAATGTCATTCATCATGTCTAAGAATATGGAGCATTCATCGGAGAAAATTCCAAGGGAACTCATGGAGAGATTTACAAATCTCACACATCTGTAATTTCTACTCATTTTGTTGATCAAGTTCAGATATTTTTCTTTCTTACGCACTGCATTATTGTTAAGGTTAGACTCGAAACCAACTGTTAATTCTAGAACATATAGGCACTTTGACTGGATGAGGAAAAGAAGATCTGGACGATAATTTTCACCAGTTATTATTGAGGAAACCATTAACATCTGCATAGAGTGAAGAGTGAACATTAATTACAGGTTGAAGTAGCTTGGCGATGAAGTTAAGGATTGAGTCGTGTCTCCAGGTAAAGCGATTAAGGTACTGTTGACAACCAGCGACAACATGAAGGAGTGATTCAGGATTAATGCAAAAGGAGCAATCAGGACTTTGTGATAATCCCCATCTTGCCATATATTGTTTATCCTCTTGATTAGAACCGAAATCTTTAAGAACTTCCTTAGTGGATTTGTACACATCATATTGAATATTAGTGTGACAGCTTGAGGATTTCCAGAGATCTTTTAAGGAATCATCTGGTGACTCTTTTAATGAATTTCGGAGAACTGTTTGGCACCGAGTAAATTTCATAGAGGGAGGACAAATATTAAGACCAAATTTATTGCGTTCTAGGAAAACATTGCTCAGTGTTCCAGATATCGGAATATCAAGCCATTTTCGAATATAGCCATTCACTACAGAGTCGAGATGTTCCATTATCCAGGTTTTGGATATATTCGTTATAGTGAAATGCCAGGACAATTTAGATAGGACATAGCAGCTGTACAGAAGAAGTTTGTGTTTAGGATATAGTGGCTTTATACAATGTCATTCATCAAGTCTTGTACAAGAGAGGACAATTCAGACATGTGTTGGTTGTTAGACATGTTGAAGTCAAAGAAGCGACCTAAGTAACGAAATGATTCACCCATTTCCACACAGGGAAATTAGAACTCCATTGATCAACAGTTTGGGTAAATATTGGACAGATTTAGTGCACAGTTTCCGTAAAAGTAGAACATTTATCAACTCTTATTATCATGTTCGAGCAATAACACCAGATTATAAAGCGGTTGATTAGATGTTGATTTTCTGATTCCTTACCGCTTATGACAGCGGCATCGTCAGCGAACTGGAACCAGTGGATAGGATTTAAGAACTTGAGGGAGAAGCCAAATTGACGGTATTTTTCAGATGGAATATGCTGTAGAAACGTGTTAAAACACAAGCTGAAGAGAAGTGGGTTTAGGCAATCACCTTGGAGTACACCACGACCAACAGATAAAAACGGGCTGCGAAATTCATTTGTAAGAATGGAGGTTTTGAAGTCAGTGTAAAGACTTTTCACCAGTGATTTGATATGATCGGGAATGTGGTGGTAATCAAGAGTGGTTTGAATCAAGTTGTGATGAACTTCACCAAAGGCGTTTGTAAGGTCCAAAAGAGTAATGACGAGAAAATGTCATGTAATTCTTATTGCTGTGTGGTGCAGAGATGGTGGCACAAAAAATATTAGTTCCCCCCAGCAATGCAGTTTTGACTGGCCTAGAGCTGCATGATGGTACGTGCAAAAGATTTGAGTGTGCCTGGCAATGTAGTTTAGATTGGTGCAGAGTTGACAGCCCAGAAATCTTGACTTTGCATGGCAATATAGATACAGTAGACTAAGATTGTGCTCTAAGTGTTTCCACTATATATGAAAGCTGTTAAAATTAGGCCTGTTTGGTAGAGAGTTCATAGCAGAAAACTTTGAAATTGCCCAGCAATGCAGTTGCAGAACAAGTGTATTGTCAGTTCTAATAACAACTGTGTTGTTAGGCAAACTAGCTGTTTTTCATGCTGTTATCTCCGTGCCAGGTGACTAGAAAACTTATGTGACATGCTAATCCCATTGTGTGCCGACATAACTTTATTGCATTATTTAGCAAACATGTTACAAATACCTGTCAACAGTAAAACTAACAAAACGCTAA